CTGGTTACCTACTCAAGGTAAAGTATAGTGAGAAGACTCACCTGGCAAGCAGGAAGCAGATATCCCCACACTTGAATCTCGAACTCGCCACCGCCTAACACGTAAGGCAAATACTCTCATGAATATAACTCTCGAGACTAGAATAAATCCTCTCATAACACCCTCTTATGGTTAAAAGACTATTTTACCTCTCTCTTGGCCCAAAGGCCACATCGCTGACCAAACCCTAAAAGTTAACGGCCAACCCTTGGTCGAAATCAAAGTCCTCAGTCTAAGTCAACCCCTGACTGACCCTACTCGCCGAGTCAACCCTGTGACTCGTCGAGTTCCCATAATCAGAACTTTATTCAATCTGCGACCTAACTCGCCGAGTCACCCCGAGACTCGCCGAGTCCAACAACTCTGAGTCCACTCGCACTCGACTCACCGAGTCATCCCTCGACTCACCGATTCTCGGCTCAACCATAGAATATTTAGGACTCTTCGACAAGACTCGTCGAGTCCAAGGCTATCTTCAACCTACTCGCCGAGTTGTTCTTCCAACTCGTCGAGTTCCAGGCTATCTTCAAGCAACTCGTCGAGTCGACCCATGTAACTCGCCGAGTACCACCGTTCTGAATCCATTCAGAAGCACTCCAGGCCATGCAATTGATCCAAAACATAGATCTAGCCTCCTACAACCCATTCATCACGTAAAGTGGCAAACTTTACGTGAATCCAAAGAGATCTAAGCCGTTTGCACATTGGGGCTAGGGTTTGGGACATGTAAGCTTCACTAAACACTCCAACACAGGGACTTTCATGCTCTCTGATTCTTCTCCCTTCCAGATCTGAGGTAGCAACCTCAGATCTAACCTCTAGACTTCCCATTTCATCCATAGACAATTTCTCACAAACCCCAAAATGAAGAAACAACATAACAACAGGTCAATAATGAGATATTACCTCTAAGTGATGCCCCAACTGCAATGAAATTCGAATCCAAGCAAATCCCCTTGCTCCAAGCCTTCAATCTTCCCAAAATTCCTTCAACCATTACTTCTCCAAGCTCCAATCCACTCAACAATGGTGCTTCTCCGTGATTTAGGGTTTTCTGGGGCTCAAGGGGTGATAAAGAGGCTGGGAGGAAAACATAGTGATCTTTATATAAGGCTCAACCCCGAGAATTAGGGTTTTCTCCACTCAGCGCCTACTCGCCGAGTCGGCCACTTAACACGCGACCAGGTCGCGACTCTACTCGCCGAGTCCGCACATGGACTCGCCGAGTCACTCTTTCCCAATTTACTCTTTTAGCCCTTCAACTCTACTCTTGATATTTCGGGATGTTACACCTTTTCACCTCATTTCCTTTAAATTAAATCCAAATAATTACCACGGAGCCCTTGTCTTCATAGATATTTATAAAATGAATCCCGAACACACACTTTTAACCCCCGACTTCCAAAAATATGGCAATTAACTCCTCGAACCTAACACCCTACATATATAATTATTTATTTTAGACTACCATTCGTTCATTAATTTATTTATTTATCTTAATAAATAAACGGGTGTTACATGAACCAGATAAAGATCTGAAACACATAATGAACGAATCCATCCGAAAAACTCTAGATTTCGAGTTTATTTTAGAAGAATCCATCTGCAATTTGAATTCTTTCCACATTATGCTCACAAACTCAGACTTGGGGGTAAGTTATTTTTTTTCCAGAAATTGAACGCATATGAAGATGAATACATACATACACATGATGAACACACACATACACCTTCGATTTGTTTGAAGCTTACAAACTCGAGGATTGGTATGGTATTCCGGAAACACATAAAGACTAAAAATCAAACTCAAGAACAGCCCTTAGTTGAGTTAGGGTTTTCAAACCCATAAATCGATTTCCAAGAACAAAGAAGAAATCAAGTTTGTGTGTTTTAGGTTCCTTGAAGATGAGCACACTCACATGTGGAAGTTTTCTCAAAATTGAGCTTGAAGATCTGACGAGTTCTTGAAGGTCTGACGAGCTTGAAGATGAACTCGAGTTAGGGTTTTCAAACCCAAAAGTTGAGCTTGAAGATGAACCTGAATCTGTAATATATGTTATTTTTATTAATACCCCATAAACAATTTCATGTTCAATTTTTGAAGATCTTGGTTCGTGTTCTGATCTAACATACACACACTTCAAAAATCGTTTTTAGAGTTAGAACTTGTGATGTGTGTTCTTGAGTTTGAATAGAAGAAGATGAAGATGAAGAATTGATTTCCGGGTTTGAGTTCTTGAGTTTGAAAATCGAACACCCACATAGGTTTATGTTCAAATTTTGTTTAGATCTAACAAGAGACATAAGGAGAGAACAAACCCGAGTACTTGAGTTCGTCGGAAAAATCATGTTCACCGGAGAATATGACCAGAGCTTTGCTGGAGCAGTCAGATATGCCGGAAACTGGGTAAACCTACTGTTGGAGGTTATAAGGATGTTTTTTAAATGGTTTAACAATTTCAATGAGAAAATATGGAAAAAAAAAAAAGTTAGATGACAAATTTATACAAAACTAATAATATATAATCATTTAAGTCATTATCCCTCTCAAAAATCAAAAACACTAATCAGCGTGTTCCGAGGACCGAACTCGTTTCCCCGACTCACCACTGCTAACACAAGCCAAAGTCCGGTGGCAACAATGGTGGAGAGATTCTTCTCCATCAACTTCCCTGATTCACCCGACAATGCAATGATGCTGCTAACTGGCCCTCCGTCTTCGTACGTTCTCTCTGTTACTCCCTTATACACAACACACTTTCTCTCGCACAGATTGAAATCGACTAAAACATTGCCATTGATGCTGTTACAGAGGAAAGACATCGCTGCTTTTTCAATTTGCATTCAATTCCATCGTTAACACCGATAATAAATCAGTCGTTTTCATTTGTAGTAGACGCAAATTAAGTACAAAGCCCCCTTTTCTCTCTCAGGTGATTATTCCTTTCATCATGTTTACAATTACTCATATGTTAATAGCTCTTAGTCTTCAATCTCATCAAATGTTATGGTTATGGATGTTAATGTTCCTTCCACAGGGAATTGATCCAGCTTCTGATGTATTTGATCGCATCCAAATGAAGTAAACTTCGAAACCCTAATATTCTGCTTCATTTTTCATCTAAATTTACATTTTGATCTGATTTCTAGGTATGTAGAGGATGAAGAAGGGATCAACAAATTCTTTGCTGCATTTCACATGCATGATACGTTTCCTGTTTTGGTTATAATTGATGATCTTGGAGAATTTTTTAATGAAAAGTAATCTTGATATACATCCTCAAAGACGATCTTTGTATTATTACTGAATGCAATCTTTTCCCCTAAAATGTTACATTTTAATCCATTACAAACCACTTCTTATTGACATTTTTATATTATGTAATGAAGAAATTGCCAACAAAAATACAATAGTCCTCGGGGAAGAGAATTGGCAATAGCCCGAACTTTAGCTTTGTGTGGCAACGCAATCAATCATGCCAAGTAAGCAAAAACTTTTTTCTCTGGTTATACAGATTAGAGATGAACAATCAGATCGGGCCTAGGCCCGATCTGGTTGTTCATCTCTAATCTGTATAAACAGAGCCGATCTGGTTACCAAACTAGGCTTTTTTTAAGCCAGTTTGGTTACCAGACCAAACTTTTTTAAGTCTGGTCTGTTTTCATCTCTACGATAGATTGTAGAGATTTTCACCTGATTTTGAACACAGTGAAAAAGGACCGTGTATGTTTTTGGTATCCGATACCCACCATGGTGAGACCCCAAGATTGCTCCACATTTACAAGGGATGGCTCAACTCTATTTTCACCATCAAAGGTTTGGTTACTATAAATGTATATTTTTTTAATTTTTATTAATAAGAATTAACATAAAGTAAATTGTTATTTTTTTATTTGTGTGTGGTTGGTAGGTAATGGAATTGGATCATTTATTCTGAAGAATAATAGCAGCTTAACAAAGAGTGCTAAGTATTCCATTGCACTTCAGTATTTAGTTTTGGAAGAAATCTATGAAACTGAAGAACAAAAATACCATCTCTAGATTTGAATCTTTATAGATAAAGTTTTTGTTAATCGGTTCATGGATTTGTATTTGTGTTCGTTTAGAACTAGATCTATTTTTTGTTGGTAAGTAGGGGTAGTATGGTCAATTTCTTCTCCATCCAAATTTTTTGACTTGATGTTAGTTCTGTAAATATGTAGAAAAGACAAAGACCTTTCGGTCATTTTGATCCCATAAATAGATATTTTCTAGTAAAGATAACTTTTTCATTTTTATATAATAAAAAAAATTGTAATAGTGTAAAAAAATTCTTATGTATTTGGCTATTTGCAAGATGTATGCATCGTTCGTTAAATGATGTTCAATCACCTAAATTGTGTTAATACTCTTAACATCTTTGGTAATTTGGTTACAAATAATATTATTTCTTCAAATGTTTATACATTTTTGAATGCTTATATTTATAAGCTTCTTCGAGTAATATGTTATAAAGTTCACCCTTTCATGACAAAACCTGTATAATGTTTGGTGTAAATAGTGTTTCTTTTTTGCCAATAAATTACTTCATTTTCTAACAAAATGAACATTCTAGGTGTATATGTTTTTTAAACTTTTGGAATTCTAAAACAATCTTTATATTTATTAGTTTTTTTACGACATTTCACTACAAGTAACAAATATTTATTTGAAATAACTAAGTTTTTGAGATAAAAATCAAAATTTAACATACATAATATATCAATATAAAACTTTATAATATAACATCATAATTAATAAATAATACTTATTGAAAGTCATTATAAAACTAGCAAACTAGAAAATAGAAATACATAAACAGTAAAAAAATTAAAATTAACACATAGTATAACATCATATTATTTCGTATAATATCCAAAACCAATTCATAAATTTTTACAAAATCACTATCTCTGTCAGCATTGCAAATGATTCAGTAGCTATGCGTCGAATCGACAATGCATTCGTAGCCTTGTCTGGTTTCCGATCACCATCCTCTCTACCTGTACCCCGAAACATCATCACAACGAAGACATTGCTTCAATTGCACACATTAGGTTCAGATTCCGATCATTTCGATGTCACACAACTAATTTTACCTAAACCAACCAGCGAAATCTCATTGGGGATCGCTCATGCTACTGTAATCAAGAACGCTGCTATCAGTCACTTACAAGTTAGTAACTATATATTGAGCTTGTACGTAAAGTTCACTAATTTAACACTTGCCCACCAACTGTTCGACGAAATTTCTCAGAGAGATGTGCGATCGTGGACTATCCTTATTTCCGGGTTTTCACGAACTGGATCACACAACCTGGCCTTACGTTTATTTACCCAGATGCAAAAGGAACGTATTACCCCAAATCAGTTCACATTTTCGAGTGTTTTGAAGTGTTGTGGAAGTGCAAAGGAGCTTAACATGGGTAAAACGATTCTTGGATGGATATTGAGAAAAGGGGTTTTTTTAGACACGACATTACAAAATTCCATACTTGATTTCTATGTGAAATGTCAGGCTTTTGATTATGCCACAAAGTTTTTTGAGTTTATGACTGATAAAGATACAGTCTCATGGAATATAATGATCAGTGCACTTTTGAAGAACAAAGATATAAAAAAAGCTGAAGATTTATTCTTTCAATTACCCAATAAAGATCCAGCAAGTTGGAATACTATCATAGATGGAAATCTGCAAAATGGATATGAACAAAGGGCACTCCAACTTCTTTATCAAATGGTGACAAATGCTACATCTTTTACACATTTTACTTTCTCAATAGCTTTAATATTAGCATCTTCTTTAAATCATCTCAATTTAGGAAAACAGATTCATGGTAAACTTCTAAGAATTGGAATCCATGATTCCTTCATCAAGAATTCACTTCTTGACATGTACTCCAAATGTGGCGAAATGGAAAAGGCATTGATCATTTTCAAAACTTCAGATGTTGACTTTGTGTCTCTAAGTTCAATAGTTAGTGGTTACATTCAAAATGGTAAGATAGAAGATGGTTTAAAAGTTTTCAGCTTTATGGTTCATGAACATGGCGAAATTGACAAATTTACCCTTGCGAGTGTTCTTTCTGGTTGTTCTGATTCCGGGCTTTTGGATCTTGGTCAACTTATTCATACATATGTTTTGAAATCGGGACATGAAGATGTGTTTTTAAGTTCATCAATGATAGATATGTATGCCAAATGTGGAAAGTTACAATGTTCTTTGTTAGTTTTTCAAGAATCCAAGATTAGAAATGTTGTGTTATGGACTTCAATAATATCTAGTTTTGCATCACATGGTGAAGGAAAGGAGACTATTCGTCTTTTTGAGATGATGAGAAACGAAGGGGTTGAACCAAATGAGATAACTTTTTTAGGGGTTTTAACTTCTTGTAGTTATCAAGGGTTAATTAAAGAAGGGTGTGATTATTTCATGTTAATGAAAGATTTTTATGGCATTAAGCCTCAAGTGGAGCATTTCACTTGTATGGTGGATCTTTTGGGAAGAGGTGGTAGGTTGAATGAGGCAAAGGGTTTTATTTTTGAGAATGGAATTTCGCATTTGAGTGTTGTTTGGAAAGTGTTTTTATTGTATTGTCATTTATATAAAGATTTGGAAATGGCGAAATGGGCTTGTGAAAAGTTATGTGAAGTTGAGCCATTAGAGAGTGGAGGTTATGTTTTGATGTCGAATAAGTGTGCGGATGATTGTAGGTGGGAGGAAGTTGCTAGGATAAAGCGTTTGATGCAAGAAAAGGGAATAAAAAAGAAACCTGGCCAATCTTGGATCCAATGAAAATTGAGCTCAGACTGTCCTAAAAACATTATGTAAGATGTAAATCAGGTACACAGTAGCCTACCATATAACTGATATAAGAGCTTATGTAGGCCAATGCTTACATGGGCTCAATCCACAATGTACTTAAAACCTTGAAATTGTTTATGTAAAACGTTATTTTTCTAGCAAGTGGATCATACTATTCCAAGAAAATCATGTAAGATATAAAGAATGTTATAGGTGGTGACTTAAGAGTGTAGAACCCACTAGAAGTGCAATCTAAATTGGAATTAGAAATCTTATATTACACCTCCAAAGACTTGAAACCTTAGATTATTTTTTTGTAAAGATAGAAAGTCCCTAATATTGTACACTATTAAGTTTGATAAAATTTCTAAGTTCATTGTTACAAAAAAAAAAAAAGAAGATAGGTGTGGGAAGTATAAAGTTTCTTTAAAATAATAAATATTGGATTTTTGAACATTTTAGTTCTAATGTTTACTAAATTCATTCTAAATATTCCTAATGATCATGGTTTTACAAGGTTGTATAATTGAAAGATGTAAACTCTAAAAATTATAGTTTGATATAATTTAGTTAAATATATTATCATCAAATGCACTTTAGTGAGATGGAGAGAGAGTCAACAACTATCTTATCATTGCAAATTCTAATTATAAGATTTGTATCTTAATCTAGGATTATAGTGATTGACTTACTAATAGGCAATAGCCTTAAAGGCGACGTGATCATTATTTTTACTGTAAATAAATAAATATAACCATTCTTTTCAGGAAAAAAAACCATGATTAAACGATATTTAATATACACATTAAATTCAATACGAGGAAATGAGCACTCTATTGAAAACCAAAGAAATAACTTCCAATAATAAAAAAGAAAAAACTTAACCTACCACCAAACGAATTAAAATCAAAATCAAGAAAATATCTTAAGTTGTTTTATTTTTATTTTTTATTTTTTAACTGTTGGTATCTGTATTTAAAAGAAAAAAAGTAGCCACGTGCTTTGAGGTATAAGGTGCAAAACAACAAAAATAAGAAACAATAGAAAAACAATGATCAAGAGATTAGATATTCATGGATAAAAGTCCTATTATTTTGATTTTTTTTAATATAGTCCTAAAAGTTTTTTTTAAACAAAAAATTCCCGATTATTTAACATTTTGTCCAAATTAACGAAAACATCTTTTTTTTTTTTTATTTTTATTTTTTTTTATTTTTATATTGTTAACAAGAAATGACAAATTATGTGATTTTTCCAAAATAATATGACTTTTCTGTTAACCTTGTGACATTCCCTGATCGAAACGTGAGTCCCGTGCTTCTGGTAGTATAAGCCTCTACTATCTTTTACACATACTCATACTCGTCCAAGTATTGTCTCATAGTTGTCCAAGTCATTATCACATAAACAATTTTAACACATAAAAATGTGTCCAAACAATCATATAATTTTCCCTAGACTCTACTAAGACTTCTTCCATGCGTATCCTCAATCATCAATTCTACTTCACTTGGTTGGTGATAGAAATGTCAGACGATGGGATAACTTCATGGATTATACCAAAAATCTTTCTTTCTACTAATCGAACATGTATTTCTCCCGTACTAGACGTATTATTTATTAGACGCATTCTAAACGCATGATATCACTTTTACGATATCTTCCGATAGGTACCATTCAGTATCGTAAGCCTTCTCATTTCCTCCATTCACTCAGTTCACTACGAGTCTTCACCATGATGTTCTGCACACCAAAGCAGGCGTTCGGTGCATCGAAACGAGAATATAGATAAAGGAAGATTTAGACGCGTATTCCTCCTTCTAACTTCGAAAAGTTACATGCTAGTTCTAACACCGTAATTAAACGTTTTAGAAATTTGAACACCTAAAATTTCCAGATCCAATCAGCAATAGACATAGATCCGATCAAACAATAACATAAATCATAACAAATCATTTAGCACATAAAATCCTTTTAGGCATCTTCCCTAATTAAGCTAGTGTTTGTGTCTATTCAGGTGTACTACCTAAAATATATTGGACACACTCCTCACGATCATCGCTTAGCATTCTAAGTTTAAGTTTAGAAATAAATCCATATTCCTAGTTCGCTTAAACTAATGCTCTGATACCAACTGTGACATCTCCATTTTCACGGCCAGAAAAGATTGATTTTGTTTATGTTTTATAAAAATCAGAGTACCTCTTTTAATAAAAATGTTGCGGAATTTGTTCCCAGTAAAACATGATAAATAAGTTATCAAATAATTTTCGAAGAAAAGTATTTTTATTCATTTTAAAACATTTGGGATGTCATCGTCAATACAAAAACATAAGCATAAACAGAACTTATATTCATTATCACTAGTGGTCTATATCTCCTTAATCTCTTAGTATAATGTGACTTCATATCAACACCTGTGATATAAATAAACTGAGTGGGTCGGGTTGGGAAACCTGGTGAGTACATAGGGTTTTCAACCCACAATAATATAATTATTATGTTTAATCATCAAACAGTTAACCCAATTACCCATCCCCATTATCCTAAGAATCAACTATTTCTCATTCATTCATTCCTAAGGATTATCCTAAGGAATATGTACGAAGTGCATCGTTATCAATGACATAGCTGTCAAGCACAACTACTAGTTCTATCACTTAGGCGCAGCTGCCAGAATTGTGACATTCTATATGAGGCGCAACTGCCAGTATCGTCCTTCGAGGACAGCTGCTAGGGTTATCTTGTTTATTGAAAGTATCGTTTGCAAGAGTCCACTCGCAATGCATGTCAATGGGTTTTTAGAGTACACCGGTGAACACATCGTTCACAACACCTACAGGTTGTGAGCCTGCTAGTGTTCCACTGGACTGTCTAGAATATTCCGTGGTTGTCATCCATACTCTGCTAGATGACGGGGCCAACATTTGGGAACAAAGCTTCTCACATCGTCCACCTCTCACCCTTACCTCATGGTCTATATCACCTCTCAACTCATCATCCAACTCATATTTCATCTACCCATGTTTTACCCAACATATTATGTAGAGATAAATACATATACAGTTTAAATCATATAAAAATTGTATAAAACCGTTCATCCAACATCGATAACAAGTATACAGATAATATGCGCACATAACACATAGTTTATATAAAATACTTCATATCTATGTGTAAGATAAAAGGGACCATGCACTCACTTGATAAGGTGGTGACTCTGAATTCAAAGAGCGCTTCGTTACTCTTAAAACAATTTCCCTCGACAAAACCTAGTATCATTACCACTAGGGTTTAGTTTAATATTCACCGAGACTAATTAATAGTCTAGCTATTATTACTATTATATAAGCGTTAAACAATACTTATATAACCCATAATAACAGCCCAAGTATTTATTATAAGTTCCTAATAACGTTACTATAATTAAATAAAAGCTATATTAAAAATAGCATAGGTGTAGCTCACTACAACGGGTTTTTCTCAAAACCGGGCGCCGCTAGAGCAGCGTTCTCGAGCCGAAAGGCTCTTTTTCTCGGAGCTTTCGGGCACTCCGGGGCTTCCGACTCGTGATAGGGAGGTTCCCTAGGCTTTTCAGGGGGTTTCGGGGCTAGAGAGAAGTTCTAGAGACTCACATCGTGAGCCAGGCTGGCTACAGCCAGACACAACCTGGTGCTGACATGTGGCATCACACATAGGGTGTAAATTAATCGATTTTCAAAAATTTATAACTTTTGCATACGAACTCCGTTTTCAACGTTCTTTATATCCACACGTAGGTAAAAACAAGATCTACAACTTTCATTTAGACTCTGTTGGCTAATTCTCGATCGATCTTAAATTTAGCAGTACGAGGAGATTAGACTGTTAAATGACCGCGAAGAATTCGTAACTCCTTCATAGAAACTCCGTTTTCGTCTATATTTTTACTGTTGAGTTCCTATTAATGAGATATTCAACTCTCATTTAGGTTTCATAGGCCAAAAACCGCTCGAACTAGAATTCGAGTTTCGGGTCGTGCAATGCTAAGCCAAATCTTAGAAAAATCATAACTTCCTCATACGAAGTCAGATTTGGGCGTTCTTTTTATGGACACTCTCAAGTTAACATATTCTACGAATTTTTTATAGATCACTAAGGCTAAAAGTTGATCTATCGTAAATTCACTATTTACGTCTTCCCGGTGTCATGCCGGTTCTGTAGCGAAACCTCGACGGGTTATAACTTCTTCGTTATAACTCGGATTTCGGCTTTCTTTATATGTACGGAAACCTTGAGAAATATTATACAACTTGATTAAGATTATTTATTCTAAATAATCTTTTGTCGAAAATTCGTTTTCGACCTCTATTATCTCTAAATTGACTAGTTCGGATCTACGGGCGTTACAATTATAGAGCAGATTCATGCCATAAATCATTTGCTTTTTTTTTTCAAATCACGATTAGCATTCCAAGGTGATTCCATATGTGTTTACTTTCCGATTTGGGGGTTAAAACCCTTTGCTTTGTGTTTATGACTAGATGAATATTTGAGATTATGGATTAATTGCTATTTGGATTGTTTATTCTTATTTAATTTATTTATTTCAGTTTGATTGCAAGATCCATATGTGTTAAAGATTGTTACTTTATTCTATATTATTGAATTAATAGAGTTTAGATGATCATTCTGACCATGTTAATTTGAATCATAGTTGTCCATGATCATTGGTAATTATGACTAGAGTTACATCAAAACCTAGGGTTAGGAAATAAAGTGATGAACTTTAATGTGTGTGCATGAGTAAATGATCATTCTATGTATGATTTACTTCGTATGATCATTAGGATTAATAAAGATCATATATTGCTTAATACAAACTGAACACTGATTTGCATAATTGTTTGTTCACTTGATCACCAAATTAATAGTTGTGTTGAAATTAAAGGATTAGTAGTTTGATCATGATGCTAGTCATATTAGGAATACATGAATAATGAATAAATATC